CACACACACACACACACACACACATACTAAAAGATGACCCCTTAACTCACTTCCATAGCACAGTGCGGTATACACCTCCTGGTAGAAACTACTAAGGGTGTTCTGTATAATGTTTGACGTTTAAAATTATCTCCCTTAAAATTTTCAAATCATTGCTCCATTGGCTTCTAAGACCACACTGCTGTTGAGAAGTCTGGTATCATTTTGATTTCTTTTGCTTTGGATTTTTTTTCATTTTTTGAAACCTTTTAAGGTTGCTTTAGATCTGGCAGACATATCTCGTGAAGCCTGAGGAAAGGGAAGGGAAACTGCCCTTTTCATTAGACATGTGATGGCACTATTTGGAGTTTTGAACTTTTCATTAAACGTTATAAGGTAGCCAGGTTGCATAAGAGCTAGAAATGGTATTGAGGCCCACCTACTCTGCTATGGTCTGTCATATTGTGTTTTTTTAAATTATGTTATAAATGTTTAAAATTCGAAAATTAATTTAAAATGTTTAGAATACCAAAGAAAGACTCTGGAACAAATATGGGAAACACGGATGTTTCACCTGGGAATATAAATCTTGGTGGTACTTACTAGCTCTGTCATTTTCTACATGGTTGAAATCGTCACACTTTGTGAAATAAGCCCGAGTGCTGAGGAAAGAGAGAGGCCAGTGGGAGGGGGATGCAGGCCCCCCAGCAGCCTGAGCAACCCCCGGCGGCGTCACACACACATCTCACGTCCTGACCCCGAGTCTGGCAGGATCCCGGAAAGAGCAAAACTCTTAATTAATCACCAGTTCAGTTCATCCAATTGGTCCAAATTATTTATTGGACACCACTGCGTACCCGACACGACACGTCTGCGGGCATGGAAGAACACACACCGGACTCCGTCAGACTGTTACGTGCCGGCATTGCTTACCGTTTAGGCTGTGATCTTTATTGTCACTTACCTATCTTTGTACACCCTCCAACTGACCTACTAGAAAACTCTCTTCACAATAAAAGGGATGACCAGCAAATTTTTGCCAAACAGACCTGTTTTTAATATATGGTAAATTCAGTTAAGCAAGAAGTTTCTCGTGGAAGCCCAATATGTGGGGACAGAAAAGCAGTTACAACATTTTTCATCCAGGGAAATGTAGGACATAGGGCTTCAGCTTGTCCCTGGGAAACTGGATGGCCACCCCAATTGAGGGGACAGGAGATTAGAGCCACAGTTCACGTGGCCTGCTCTGGCCACCCTTCCCAGCCTCACTGTCCCCAGGTACTTTCTCTCTCACCCAGCCTCCCTGCCGACTCTGCTCTCCACATGCCACCATTCACTCACTCATTCATTCATTCATTCGTTCATTTAATTAATTAGTTAATTAATTTATTTATTTTAGCTGAGCCATCCTGCCACCTGTCGGCAGCTCAGCGGCAGCTCACCTCAGGCCGGGCATCGAACCGCTGTTGCTCAGAGCTCGCACTCTTGAGCGAGCTCTTAACCAGCTAAGCCACTGGGCTGGCCCTGCCACCATTCTTTTAACATCTAAATTAAATTCCACCCCTTGGAAGCCTTCTTTAATCAGCCCACCGCATCAATTGCTTCTCCTTTTAAATTTATGATAGCATTTTACTTTTTGGGCCAGGGGTGGGGGCACGCGTTGAGTTGATTATTTGTGAATGATTTTTCTCCCTTAGTAGCCCATGGTTTTCTCAAGAGCCAAATCTGACTCTCTTTACTCTTCTCCCGTGTAGAACGGTGATTTATTTGGGTGTGGTGGGTGTTCGGGTCTTTCTGAAGTGCACCCAGAACACACTGACGCCTTTTGTCCTCGGGCCCGCGCGCGGCAGCACTGCACATCTCAG